CGTTCATCACCCCTAAAGGCTTGTACTGTTACAAGGTAATGCCTTTTGGGTTGAAAAACGCAGGAGCAACTTACCAAAGGTTAGTAACAAAAATGTTCAAGCACCTAATTGGCAAAACGGTAGAAGTCTACATCGATGACATGGTCGTGAAGACCAAAGAATCTAAGGGACATCTTGCCGACCTAAAAGAGATTTTTGATATGCTCAAAACATACCGGCTCTGACTCAACGCATCAAAGTGCGCGTTTGGAGTTGGATCAGGTAAGTTTCTAGGATATCTGGTAACATAGAGGCCAACCCAGACCAAATCAAGGCCATCCTAGAGCTGCAGCGCCCGACGTCGGCAAAACAGGTTCAGATGCTTACTGGAAGGGCCGCAGCCCTAAACAGATTCATCAGCAGAAGCTCAGACAAATGCAGACCCTTCTTCAACTTGGTGAAAAAAGCCACAGACTTTCTGTGGACAGAAGAATGCGAAACCGCTTTAGCCGACCTAAAGAAGTACTTGACCACAACTCCGGTTCTTTCCAATCCAGAACCAGGGGAAGAACTGTTTTTGTACTTGGCGGTTTCAGAACACGCAGTAAGTGCAGTACTCATCCAAAAAGAAAAAGGGGAGCAAAAAGTGGTTTATTATGTAAGTAAAACCTTGGCCAGTGCAGAAACAAGGTATCTGCCGCTAGAAAAATTAATGCTGGCCTTAGTAATGGCTTCAAAGAAGTTGAACCATTATTTTCAGGCACACAAGATTGTGGTCCTAACAGAGCACCCACTGAAGTCTTTGTTACAACAAGGAGACTTAACAGGAAGGATAGCAAGATGGGCAGTGGCCCTGGGCCAATATGACCTAGAGTTCAGGCCGAGAACAGCAATAAAAGGCCAAGTTTTGGCCGACTTCGTGGCAGAATTCACCCCAGAAACCATGGAACATCGGGCTCCGTTAAGCCGAGATGAGCAGCATCCCAGCAAGCAAGGAAAAGCCCAGCCAAAGGCAAAAGAACAAAGGAAGGAAAAACTCAGACCCTGCAGCATCTACATCGGCGATTCATTCAGACTGTTCGTCGATGGAAGTTCAAACCGTCAAGGAGCAGGGGCAGGAGTACTGCTGATATCTCCAGATGGAGAAATAATAGAACAGTCCATCCGTTTGGGGTTCAAGGCCTCAAACAACGAAGCAGAGTATGAAGCATTAATTGCAGGGCTAAAACTGGCAGCAGCAGCAGAAGCAGATGAGGTAATAGTTTTTTGTGATTCACAACTTATTGTCAACCAGTCAACAGGTGAATTCGCAGCCAGGGACGAAAGGATGTCGGCATATGCAAAAGAAGTCATTAGATTAGCAACTCTATTTCAGAACTGCCGACTACTCCAGGTTAGCCAAGATGACAACACCCACGCCGACGCGTTGGCTTACCTGGCAAGTTCAATTCAGACTGGAAAAACAAGAACAATTATGATCGACTACATGTCGGGCCCGAGCATAGGACCAGAGAACACAAAGCAACAAGCAATGTGTGTGGACATGGGGCCAAGCTGGATTGATGCAATTATCGCATTCCTGAAAAAAGGAAAACTGCCAGAAGATCGTAAGGAAGCACACAAAATCAGATTGAAATCTGCAAGATTCTGTCTGACAAAAGATGGACATCTTTACAGAAGATCCTTCATTGGACCCCTTTTAAGGTGCGTACACCCTCTGCAGGTTGAAGATTTCCTCTATGAAATCCATGAAGGAATTTGTGGAAGCCACACTGGGGGCAGATCATTAGCCCACAGGGCCATTACCCAGGGGTATGGGTGGCCCTACATGCAAAAGGATGCTGAAGCCTACGTAAAGAAGTGTGAACAATGCCAAAGGTTTGCACCTTTGATACATCAGCCAGCTGCTGACCTAAACCCAGTATCCAGCCCTTGGCCGTTCGCCCAATGGGGCATGAATCTGGTTGGGCAACTTCCCCAGGCAACTGGGCAAAGAAAATACTTGCTGGTAGCAACAGACTACTTTACAAAGTGGATAGAGGCAGAACCTCTTGCCAAAATCCGAGATGTGGACGTCAAGAACTTTATATGGAGAAACATCATCACCAGATTTGGCATTCCAAGAGCAATCGTTGCCGACAACGGAACACAGTTTGACAGCAAACTCATCAAGAACTTTTGTGCCAAATTCAAGATCAAGAACTATTTTTCAACACCAAGCTTCCCCCAAAGTAATGGTCAAGCAGAAGCATCCAACAAAGTAATTTTGGATGGAATAAAGAAGAGGCTGCAGGCAGTAAAAAGGAAAGTGGGTAGACGAGTTGCCCAACGTACTTTGGGCATATCGAACTACGCCGAGAAGATCAACCGGGGAATCCCCCTTTGCCATGGCTTATGGCACAGAAGCTGTCATCCCATTGCAGATCGGCATCCCTGGGATCAGAACCCAGGGAGTAGAGAATGGCACTAACGACATAGTCTTAGCCCGAGATCTGGACCTCTTGGAAGAACGAAGAAAAAAGGCTGCAATTCAGCTAGCAATATACCAGCAGCAGCTTGCAAGAACTTACAACAAAAAGGTCAATCCAAGAGATTTTCAAGTCGGCGACCTAGTCTTGAGAAAAGTCGTCGGCAACAAAAAAGATCCCAGAGAGGGCAAGCTTGGCCCAAACTGGGAAGGACCCTATAGAATTACTTCGGTAATAGGCAATGGAGCTTATCGGCTTGAAGATAACGAGGGCAAAGCACTGCCAAGACCTTGGAACACTTGTAATTTGAAATTCTTCTATCATTAGATGTGCAGTATTTTTTGCCGATGTCTTTAATAAAGTTTTTTCAAGAATTCTTTCAACACATATGACTGATAAAATTACATACTGATGTTTTCTGGAGACATGAATAATGAGAACCCAAGTAGAACTCAGGTTCACATTGGGGGCAGAAAGAAGAAGAATACGTTTACCACTTGTTGAAATTTGTAACAATTTACAAGTTGGTTAAACCAAGATAATGTTCAAAACTGAAATGAGACCGAGAAGATGCTTAACCGAAGTTAAGCAGAGATGATTCTTTGTCTTCACTTGTTGAAATTTGTAGCAATTTACAAGTTGGAGACAAGCTGATTCCTTGCCTTCACTTGTTGAAATTTGTAAGCAATTTACAAGTTGAAGTCAAGTTGATTCCTTAATTCACTTGTTGAAATTTGTAGCAATTTACAAGTTGGAATTAAGCTGATTCCTTGCCTTCACTTGTTGAAATTTGTAGCAATTTACAAGTTGAAGTCAAGCTGATTCCTTAATTCACTTGTTGAAATTTGTAGCAATTTACAAGTTGGAATTAAGCTGATTCCTTGTCTTCACTTGTTGAAATTTTTAGCAATTTACAAGTTGGAGTCAAGCTGATTCCTTATCTTCACTTGTTGAAATTTGTAGCAATTTACAAGTCGAAGGTAAGCCGAGATTACTGTTTGTCTTCACTTGTTGAAATTTGTAGCAATTTACAAGTTGGAGTCAAGCTGATTCCTTATCTTCACTTGTTGAAATTTGTAGCAATTTACAAATCGAAGGTAAGCCGAGATTACTATTTCTCTTCACTTGTTGAAATTTATAGCAATTTACAAGATGAAGTAAAGACGAGGTTATAGTTTGCACACTTATAGCAATTTACAAGATAATATTAAGCCGACATGTGATCATCTGTTGAAAGTTGCAGCAATTTGCAGGTTGAGGTAAAAGCTTAGTATATTGTTTAAACACTTGTTGAAATTCGTAGCAATTTACAAGCAGATCATTGATTAAACTTGAAGAAACATTACAGTATATATTAACACTTGTTGAAATTTGCAGCAATTTACAAGTAGGTTAGACCGAAATTACTGTTTATGTACTTGTTGAAACTTAAGAAAAAACTTACAGAAAACATTAAGTTGTATATGTTAAACACTTGTTGGAATTTTTTCAAAAGTTTTTCAGGATTGAATCTTGCCGAAATAAAGTTTGACGTCATTATACCCGAGGTATGTAACCCCGAGGAGATTGCACAAAGGTAGCAAAATACAGAAGCAAATCAAAAAGACATTAAAAGATTGAGGCATCCATAAGAAAAATTGTTCAGAACAAGGCACATCAGCCATACAAAGAAACTTATATTGCCAAGCAAACAAAAAAATACAAAAAACATGAAAGTTATGATTCTTCTGCTTCAGAAGCAATTTGAGTCTGAACCTCGGCAGATTCCTGTGGAACTACTTCAGCGGCCTTCTCTGCTGCCAGCTCGGCATCAATCTCTGCCAGCATTTTGTCAAGACTCCTTTCAGCTAATAGGAGGTTGGACGATAATACCCCCGTAACAGCTTCCTTAGGCGCCTCCCCGACCTCATCACCCTCTTCATCCAAAGTTAAGTCCAGGATGGGCTCAATTTGAGAAGGAGACTTGACCCCAGCATCACCCTTGGGTTTCTTCACCAAAGCCTCAGCATTCTGATCATCTCCATCTTCAGGCTCCGACCTAGATTCTTCTTCGGCTTGGCTTGGTGGAAATGGGAGAGGAATAGCATCGACATTACGAAAAGGCGAGTCAGCAGGGAGGTCAAGTCTTTTTAACAGAGACATCCAACCAAGGGAAAATCCCCTGTTGCATGCTTCCCTGACTTGAAGCTTGTACTCCTCAGCGACGTCGGCCATGCCCTGCGCATAAGCCTTTTCATCAGCTTCTTTGATTTCAGCCTTTTTTGTGGCCAAGGCCTCCTGAAACTCCTTCTCGGCTTGGGTGGCCTTGTCATCGGCTTCATTTTTCTGCGCTTCGGCAACTTTCTTTATAGCTTCAGCAGCCTCGGCCTTTTCTTCAGCCAAAGTTTGGGCTTTAGTGGCAGCCTCGGCCTGGTCTTCCAATTTCTTCATTTTTGCTTGAAGACCCTTGTTGATCTTCTGGAGTGCAGAAAACTCCTTCTGCAAGTCAGATAACTTCTCCCTGTTTTCAAAAGATTGCATGGAAAAGGAGTGGGCATGCTGAACAGCCTGAAAGAACACAAAAGCAAGGAATTATTACAGAAGTTTTATAAACAAAAAAGGAAAAGACAGGTCACCAAGTGAAGGCACTTACTTGAACACAGTGTTGAAGCATGAAAGCATAATTTTCATACTCACTCATTCCAGCATTCTTTTCCAAATCACCTGGGAGAAGAAGAGTTGTACTAAGGGCAACGCCGACATTAATGTCGTCGGCGCTGTCAGTAGCCATGACCGGCCTGTCCTCCAGGGTAATCTCGGACGTCCAAGGGACGTTTGGCACCTTGGATTTTGAAGACGTTGCAGAGGAGGACCTCGACTTCTTTGATTGGGTAGATTCGGAGGGCTGGGTCTCGGCAGACCTTTTCGCAGAAGCAGAAGTAGAAGCAGTCTTCTTACTCTCAGCCAATTTTGAGATAGGCAAACTATCTCCAGCCTTAACAGCCCTGGCCTTAGGCTGGGCCTTCTTGATTCTTTTTGGCTTCGGTGGGGGCATTGGTTGGGATGGTACAGCGTCAACATCAGTCGGAAAGTCGGCAAGGAGATTTTGGGCAATTGGCTTTGCACGACCCATTTCGGCAGTTTTGATAAGGCGTCGCCGGCATTTTCTTTCTGGTATCGGGATCAAGAATGGGGCCGAAGTGGATGGTTGATTGATAGGGTCAGATGTGGACTCTTGATCTGTTCGGGATGTAGAAGCGGTTAAAGTTGTAGCGGTAGGTGGAGAAAGGCTCTTCTTCTTTTTCTTTGGAACGTTGGGTAATGTGGATTTGTATGTCGGAATAAAGTTTAGTAATAGGGGAGCCTTGCGCTTTTGAACTGGAAGTTCTAGAAGCTTCTTTAAGTCTTTTCCAGGGAAGAAGGACTGACGAAATTTTTTGGGTGGCTGATGAAGATCTGCAAGACAAACAAAACCAACATTAGAAGCAGGCAGAGTTTTTTGGAAAAGAAACAACTAAGTATTGGCACTGGGCTCTTACCCTTGCCCTCTTTAACTGTTCGAGGAAGAGGGTAGAGGTGAACATCTTCGTCTGGGCCAAATTCCCAATTTCCCGAAGCAATGACAAAGTCATCCCCGGCTCCCTTGTTGGAATCCGGGAGGTCGGCTACAATTTTGAACTCGGTAGACCTCGGCTTGAGGTAGTAGACATAACCTCTTTCCTTCAGGTTAAGGGGGCACATGGTATAACAAAATTGGATATCGGCAAGGGTGATCCTAACGTTCTCTTGCCTAGCCAGGGCTATGATACCATTAATCACTCGATAAGAATTGATGGTAAGTTGCATAGGATTCAACCTATAAAAGTGGAGAACCTCGCAAAAGAGGGGATTGAGTGGAAGCCGGAGTCCACATTCAGTAAAGGCTACAATAGGAAAGGGCATCGTATGATCTGTGGGCATGATGGAATCATCATCTCCAGCAAGCCTAAGGTGAACATCGGCTGGGATGGAGAACTCCTGCCTAAAGTATTCAAGTTTTGTTGGGGAATTTACTCGATGTCTCCACATACCCATAACGTCGGCCTAAGTTCAGAAAGCTGTGTTTCAGAAAATAGGTGTTTCAAAAGGGTTGCTAGAACCTCGGTGTCAAAACTTGGGAAAGGGCTGGTAAAGTTTGTTTCAGTTTTTCCTAAAGATTGAAGGTTCTATAGACAAATCCCAAACCTATAATTATAAAGATGAAGATCGGGGGCACAGATCTGGTAAAAAAAACAGAGAACAAAAGCGAAGTTTCAGAGACAAGAACAGGGATGGGCTATCAAGAACACAAAGAATACAAAGGGTTAAGGGCCAAGAACAGTAGTGAAACAGTGCAAGTGTTCATAAAATCATGAAATAAGACGCATTCAGGTGAATGATTCACGAATAACACTTAAATAGAACAGTAATAGCAAGAAACTTCAGAAAAAATCAAGAATTAGAAAAAGAGGGTAAAGGGGGCCAGTTGCTTACCGGATAAACTGAAGCCGAAGCAATATTTGCCGAGACCAGACGGTAGTTGAAAACAGTAGCAAAAGCTTCGTAGAAATGGAAGAGTAACGATGGTCACAGAATTTGGGATTTAGAACAATGGCAGATTCGAAAAATGCTAGAGTTTTTAGGGAGAGAGAAAACAAGAAACCAGAATGCAAAAAGTGGAGAAAAGAAAAAGGAAAGAAAAGGTTTGTAAAAAAAATTAAAAACGGCGGCAAAACAGGGCATTTATTGCGCCTGGAGCACCGGATACGTCAGACGGCGCAGACGAATAAAAGACAACTTGTAGGCGCATCACAGACACGGGCCAATAAAGACAAAGCACGTGAAAGAAACGGTTAGATGTGCATGACAGCTCATGCGCGTGATAGAGTACATTTGAATTCCTATTCTCCGAAGAGAACACATCGGCTTAAAAATAAAATATTTCGGCCAAACAGTTTTTGAGCCACTATGCAGAAAGAAATATCGATGTAGGTTCCATCACATCAGGATGCCGAGGTAATAGAACCTAGGGGGCAGTTGTGGGGATATATTTCTTGGGTACCAACACGTGGCATGACGACGCCGACGTGTTTGGCCGAGGTAACCACGTGTCATGGAAATTATGCCGAGGTGATCTCGGAGTTGCCGAGATTGTCTCCGAAGATATCGGAATCCGAGATAAGCAGATAAGGGACAAGAGTAAAGAGGGGACTTAGCCAAGATAAGGATAAAGCTCTTAGGGAGTTTATCTGTATCTCTTGAGAAATCCTAAGTAAACACTAAATTGAAGTCTATAGAAGTCATGCTTCTAGTAGGACTTGGATTGTGTTGGCTATAAAAGAGAGGCACCCCCATGGGTCTAAGGTATGCTTTTAATACTCAAGCTTGTGAGTTTAAAACTTGATTATCTTTGAGAGATATACTGACTTGATCGTCGGAGTCCCCCGGGTGGAGGAGCCACCGCCGGAGCCTTTTCTTTCTGTTACAGGTTACTGGAGCCATCTATTCTGCCTGTGCTCTCCAGCTAATCAGTAGGCGGGCAGTGTGGTAATAAAATTACCCACACACTTTTAAATTAATAAAATTACAATTAGGAACATCAAAAAGTAAGATTTTACTGAAACAAGAGGACCAATTATGTAATTTAATCTTAATAGGGTGTTTGGAAAATGACTATTTTAATTGATTTTTTCATTTTTTATGAAAAAAATATGTAAAATAAATTTTAAAAAATGATATGATTATATGTTTTGACTTTTTAATTATTTTAATAAAAAAGTCAACTCCCCAAACGGGTCCTAAATGCACCAAAATAGTGGAACTCATATAAATAAAATAAACTAGGAAACATGAATACAAATACGGATACGAATACGAAAACGGCGATACGGATAAAATGATATGTCAAAATCTAAAAAAAGTAAGATATGGATACGGTAGGAATACGTTCGTAAAAAAAATATATTTTTTTATAATTTTAATAATGTAATATGCATGGAAATAAAATCTAAAACAAATTAATAAATAAAGGGAGGAATTTTTATTAAGTTAGGAGTCTTCAAATATTCATAAAACATCTAAAAATAAAAGCAAATGCAAATTAAACATCACCTTTACATGTCAATACCAGAAAAAGAATGAGAGTAGAGAGAAGAATCGTGAGAGAGCTAGATAAAAGTGAGAGAGACAATAAGGATATATTAATTTGACAAATTCTATTACTGTAACTCTCACTATATTTCTCTTATCAAAGAACTAAACAAAGTATTAGAAAATAATATGTGATTTCGAGTATCCAATATTCTAAAATTAATTTAAAAAATTAATTAAAGAATATCTAATATTTTTAAAAAATTATCCAATACATACTTGTGAGTATCAAAAGAATACCAGTATTCGATAAATATTTGATACGAATATGATTCTATTTTTAAAATACATACTTCATAAAAAAAATAAATAATAACTGAAACACATGTTACCACTTACATTTCCACGTTTAAGTTGTTGCAAGACATATGCCACTGAGATGTGTAAAAAACTGATTTTTTAATTTTTTTTTTGGACTTTAAAGATGATAAGACTAAAATAGATTAAAATTAAAATTTAACTTTGAAGATATTTACAATGTGCATCCTTTCAAATGGTACATATTGTAAAAAAAAATTATGATTTTTTATGATAAATGTTATGATTATTTGTGATGTATATTATGACATTTTGTAATAAAGTTATAAACAATGAATTTATGATGTGCACTCTAAAGTTAGGAATGATAATGTTATGACATTTTGTAATTTTTATTATGACACTTTTAGATTTTGTTAGGATATTTTTCAATAAAAAAAGTTATAATTTTTATAATGAAAAAGTTATGACATTTTGAATTTAAATTATAAAATTTTATGAAAAAATTATGAAAGATATATGATATACGCCTTTTTAAAGGGGCAGATTGCAACATTTACTTCTTAACTTTAAGCCAAAGTTGCCAAATTGGCCCAAAGTCCATCACGGGCTTATCATCTTCTAATAATGTAATTGGCCTAATTAATAATTTAAAGGATAAAGCATTAATAAATCGCAAAAATATGATATTGTAAATTGTTTGATCCACTATTTTTTTTTTCTTTCTCTCTCTTTTTTTTTTCTTTTTTTTTTTTTTTTATAAATCAAAAGTTCCATTAAAGTGAAAATTATACGAAAGGATGGTCACTTACACGTTTGGGTTTAATTTTTAAAGTATAAAAGTGAGTTTCTCCAAATGTGAAATTACACATTTAGGCAATCTACACTATAAATTTTTTTGATTTTTCATCATTCTAAAACAAATCTTACATTACGAGTAAGAACGTAACACTTCAATATAACACTAAAAAAAATATTTTTTTTTCCAAATATAACAACATAACACTCCAAACTTTTTCCAAACATAACACTGTAATGTAACAAACTCTAATGTAACGCACAAAAAAGATCGTTAATGTACTTTTTTCAAACATAACACTATAATCAATATAATCTCAAACGTAACACTTCAGTGTAACATACATAAAAACATTGAAAAACTACTTAACATATTTTTTTTAAATGTAACACTCACAATTTGAAATTATAAATTTACTCAAAGCTTACTAAACAATTTTTATACTCCTTTTGGAATGGTGTAAAGAATCTCACACCTTTTTGGAATGGTTTAAAGAATCCCACACCTTTTTTTTAGAGTGTTACTGGAATATTACGTTTGAAAAAAGTACATTAAGATTTTTTTTTTTTTTTTGTTATATTGGAGTGTTACACTAAGGAGTTTTTTTGAAGTATTACATTGGAGTGTTACACTTGAAAAAAGTATAATAAAGAGTTTTTTTTAGATTGTTACAGTTGAGTGTTACAGATTGAAATTTTACATTTGTTTAAACCTTACTAAAGAGTTTTTGTACTATTTTTGAAATATTTGAAGAATCCCACATCATTTTAGAATGTTTAAAGAATCCCATATTCAAGTCATTTTTGTACTACTTTTGAAATGTTTGAAAAATCTTATATTTCAAATCATTCTAAATAAAAAAGATTCTCATATAAAAATTAATTCCAAATTTTATTCTCATAAGTGGTGTATCTTACATTTCTAGCACAAAAGAAAGAAAAAAAGAAAAAAATATATAATAGAAATAAGGGTATAATCATAAATTTAATTTTTAAATAATATATTAAATTTACCTTTTCAAAATCAATGGGACTAATTGGTCTATAAGAAAACTCTTGTGACTAATCGGATTACCATTCCTCAAAATGAGATTTATGAGTAAATTTTTCTAATTTAAAATTAGTTCAAAAAAAAATAATAATTTAAAATTATCGTGAACCTAAGTCTGTTTGTTTTAAAATTTAAGAAAATTTTAGAGTGTGTATTATATGCATATTTAGTTACAATTTTTGAGTCAATAGATATGACTTCCTGTGTTGTTAGGTATGACACATTATAATGTTTATTATAACAAAATTTTAGTTATGAGCAAGAATTATTTAGTTATACATCATGTGATGTTTAGTTATAACTTTTTATTTTATTTTATTATTATGACTATTATAGTATTGAGCTCCGAGAATTGTGTGTACCATACTTAGGTCTCGTTTGGGAACCCTCATTTTTAGCCAAAAAACTAAAAAGTTACTAAATTAGCCAAAAAGCCAACAACCCATACCAAAAAATTAAAAATTCTCTTTTCTCTCTACTTTTTACACATCTTTTCGTAAAAAGCCAAAAAATCATCCTAAACATACTAATTTTTTTTAGCTCATATTTTAGCCAAGTAGCCAAAAAGTTATTAAATTAGCCTGTTCCCAAACGAGGCCTTATTGCAAATTAAAAGTAAATAACAAGAAAATAAAAACTAAAAACACTTTTTTCTCACCTTATAAATAATCAATTTATTTAAGTTATTTTTCCTTAATAAATTATAAAAAGAAACTATATCAATATTATTAATAAGAGAAACATAAATATATATATATATATATATATAAAGAATAGTATATTATCATAGTATAAATTT